GGTCCGGGCTCCGATTTTGCCCGGGCCGGCCCGGCCCGGATGGACAGGCCTAACTGCCGTCTGAAAAAAGACTAAAGACGAAACGAAAGTTTCAGACTTGTTAGCTTTAAAATAGAGAGACAAGACAACTGAAGAACTACACCTAGGGGTGCTAAATCGTATCCGTATCCGAGAAAATATTCGTAACCGTATCCGTTAGGATACGAATATGGTTACTCAAATCTATAACCGATAGGATATGGTTACGGATATGGTTTTGTAGTGAAATATCTGTATCCGTATCCGAAATATCCGAATACATATTAGTCATACTCTTACGATAGTTTCGATTCTTAGATTATGGATTTGTGGTTAATTTTGATGATCAAGATGTCTAATCTTAACTTTTCAATTATAATGGACATATTAACAAATTCTTTTGTATCACATGAACTATGTTTTTCTCAATACTATCTAGTTTTCTCATATCTGTTTTGTATCTGCATGCATATCCGCTTGTATATCCGTAACCGTATCCGATTTTAGCGGATATGATTATAAATTTTTCTTACCGAGGTATATCCGTATCCAAGATGGATAAGAGGATATGAATAAGATAAACATCATATCCGAGTTGTATCCGAACCGAATGTACCCCTAACTACACCTTGTTCTTCTACCTCATGTGGTCCCCACAAAAGTTTGGTCCTGTTTGTGGGTCAAATTAAGACGTCCTCTATCTTTCCACTTTTAGAAAGGTAAGCTGACAAGTTGCAAAGCCAGCTTGACGGACAAGTGAGCATTTAACGCTTCACTTAACTACAAAAATTTCTTAACTAATTTTGTTTCCATTAAAATTTACCCTCTCAATAATTTTTTTTTCTCTCCCTCAATCATTTTCTTAAGTAAATCGGTCCTCTCCATTCTGATACCGTGCTCATAGCAGAACTTCTTGAATCTGGTGTCTTCATACTCACCACCATTGTCTGTTCTGAGTTTCTTTACCCTCAAACCGGTCTCATTCTTGACCATGGCTTTCCATCTTCTGAAAGCCTCAAACACTTCTGACTTATGTTTCAGAAAGTAGACCCATACTTTCCGAGTGTGATCATCGATAAAAGTCACGAAGTAGTGTTTCCCACCAATCGACGCAGTGGTGGTTGGTCCCCAAACATCTGAGTGAACGAGCTCTAGCTTCTGCTTCCTGGGGGTTCTGCCACTTGTCTGAAAGCTGACTCTCTTCTGCTTTCCAAGTATACATTCTTCACACATATCCATCTCCACTGACTGCAGTCCTGGGAGTTTTCCCTTTGTGTGCATGATCTTCATCCCCTTTTCACTCATATGACCGAGTCTCTGGTGCCACAGCTTTGAAGTCTCATTGCTTGCTGCAACTGAGATCGAACAACGTGCACCTGCTGTCATATATAGGGTACCAGTCTTCCTGCCTCGGGCAATCGTCATTGCGCCCTTTGAGGGCAATTGTCATTGCGCCCTTTGAGATCTTCCAATCATCTCCATGGAAGGTTGTGGTGTATCCTTCGCCAGCCAACTGGCCTACGGATATTAAATTCTTTCTCAGGTCGGGAATATGCCTGACATCCTTCAGCTCCTATACTGACCCGTTCAACTTAATTTTCACCACGCCTTTGCCCACTATAGCACACGGTTGATCATCACCAAGATATACGTATCCAAGTTTTCCGGGGGTATACTTCTCGAAGAATTCTTTCTGAGAGGTAGCATGGAACGACGCTCCTGAATCTAACACCCAAGATTCCTCCTTGCTCTCCAAAGAGCATATCAATGCGTCGTCTCCTCCTGAAGTGGAAGTGACATTCACCTCTGCTTTCGCTTCCTTCTCCTTCTGTGTACTCTTGCACTGATTCTTGTAATTCCCGGTCTTTCCACAATTCCAACACTCGATAGCCTTCGAGCTGTTGCTTGGATTCCTTGATTTGGACCTCCTGTCCTTTGATCTACCTCTGTAGTTTGATTTTCCTCGTCCGTTTCCTCTGGTTGAATTTCTACCTCTTGATTCTGTATGCAATACTGAAAAGGTTGTAGCTTCACCAGTCTCTCGCCGTCGGATCTCCTCACTGAGAACCAAATCACGAACGTCGCGGAACTTTAACTTTTTCTTTCCCGATGAGCTACTCACTGCCGTGACTGTAGCGTTCCAACTCTCTGGTAGGGAAGACAAAAGTATCAACGCCCGGACTTCATCATCAAACTCAATCTCAACAGAACTCAATTGGGTTGTAACCGTATTAAGTTCATTGAGGTGTTGTGCTACTGACGCGCCTTCCGCCATTTTCAGATTGAATAACGCGCAGTCAAATGAACTTTTTCGGGCGCGGCTGATGGCTTGCTCATACAATGTTTGAAGAGTGCTGGCCATAAGACCTGCCGTGGTCTTCTCCTCGCTATGTGAACGCAACATTGCGAGTCACGTTAATTGATAACTCCTCGCGGGCTTGTCTATCTAGAAAGGTTCGCACTCTTCTTCCTGTCATTTAGAATCTAGGCTTCTTCCCCATAGTGGTTTGATCACAGATTTTTCTGATACAGATATCCTCTATCTGGCATTTCCAGAATCCGAAATCTGTTGCCAGTCAATTTATCAAGTCTCATTTTGGCGCTCATTCCGTGTGGGCCATAGGCTCCGCACTTGAAATCTGACTTGTTTCTATGATCGTTTCACGCTGCTGAATACGCAAGTTGTTGGAGATTTAACGGCTGAAACCTAATTTGCAACCAGAAACGGCAGAATAGAAAAAAATACACCAAGATTTGCGAGGCTTGCGGCAACTGGCCTACGTCTCTCGGGAGCACAACACCAGATAATTTTTAATATAATCATATTAGAGAATAATGTACAAATTTAGTGAGGCGGATCTTCAATAATTGAGATTTCTCAAATAAACACCTTGTAGCTACAGTGTTAATAATCAAGAGGTATGGAACCCTTTCAATCTCCTTGAGACATAAATATCGCGGCTCACATTAAACCCCTCTTTAACTATGTCTATATTCTCTCTCGTTCTTTAATCACCGCCTGCAACCACATGTTGAGGTGTTGGGCATATTTAAACAAGGCAAATCGCAGCTGGCGTATTTGGGGGTTTTCCGCCGTCCCGTCTGGTGAAGGAAAAATCGGACGAGGGGGGAAGGTCTCAGGCATCGAGAAGACCTCAGGCTGGGGTTTTCTTTTATAGGCGGAGTTGATGGATGAGCTGGCGACAGCCTGTCGCCAGCGACCGCTTCGACGCCAGCTTCGAGCCGAACGCAGAGGTCGCTTCGACGCCATCTTCGCACAAACGCAGAGCTGAAAGGGGGAGGCGAACGCAGAGCTCGAGCCGCCAAAACGCCAAGGTCAGGTCAGCGTTCGCCTGGGGGTTCTCCGTCGACTTCGCCTGCGTCAGGTCGTCGACAACCTCGCCTGGGCTTCGAGCTTCGTCGGAGCTCGTCGGAGCTCCTCGCCGGACATGGAGGTTGGTATCCACCCCCAAATTAACACTAACAAAGCATTAAAATATGCATTTGAAACTCGAGACAAACAAATCTATTTCTTTTTTTTTAGAAATAGAATGTGGGAAGCTCAACTGAATTTTGATTATTTTTTTATAGCTTATTCGAACTTGCTTATAGACAACTACCTCAACATAGTAAAATAATTATTTTTTTTTTGGGGGGGGGGGGGGGGGGGAAGCTCAACTGAACTTTTGTCAGAGCTATTAGAGATTATCGGTATTCAGATTTATGAGATATTGTTGAGATGATATTAGAGCAACCAGGGTTCAAATCCTACTAGCCATGAATTTAATGAGATTTTTTTTAAAAAAATTTGACATCGCTGCGTGAGTATAATTTTTAACCCGTCAAAACATCACTCAACCTGCAAGGTCTTGTTAGAATTAATATAAAACTATAATCATCGCTTCTGATCATAACTTTAGAGTTTTGGTGTAAATAGTTAGAGTGACTAAATTTAATAAGAGACAAATTTTAATATTGGTACATGTGGGGAATGGGCCCACCGTGCTTCTGCTACGCCACTCTAATTTTGATAACTTTCTTATATTGGTTGCAAGAGATTCACAAGAGCAAAGGAGAAGTGAAGACAAAAATGAGAAAGAAAAAGTAGCTAGATGAACAAAGAAAAACAAGGGTCATTCTCTACTACGAGAAAAAGAGACATTTTGCGTCTCTAAGTTGAGATGTTTACTCATGAATTATCATATGTTACTGTTGATATTATTCTCAAAAGTTGATTATTGAAAATTATAGTACATCATGATTCGAATCTTTGAAATATAAATTTATATTGCTTTTCTCTTTAGTTTTCAGCACTTTATGAATCGTTTGTGGCAACTACACTTATTTTTTTGCTTATCTGGATATCTTTGCACTGTATAATACTAGTTTCTTAATTTTTTAAGTTGTCTATTTAAGTTTGGAGTAACAACGAGCAGCAGAAATATTTCTTACGTATATGCCATTCCAAATGGTCCTGTAGATGTAACTTCTCAAGGTTATCAACATTCAGAGACAACGTAAATTGTGAGGATTCAACAAATTATAAGATGTGCAAGAGACATCGTGTTTCTTCTGCTTATGAGCGTAAACACATACATGAATCCAAGGTTGATGATTCAAAGGAACAAATGCCTTTGGTTTTTAAGATGTTAAATGCTTTCTATCGATTCTCTCGGCCCCACACAATCTTCGGCACTGTAAGTTTTGATAATTTTTCCTTTTGTAAGCATACCCTATATTAATGTTCATGATTAGGTTTCTAATTGTTATTATTTTGTGCATTGTTTTTGAATTATCAGGTTATCGGTATAACGTCAGTCTCTTTTCTCCCAATTGAAAGTATGGCTGATGTCTCTCCTGTATTTTTAATAGGATTATTGAAGGTGAAATAGTCAATTTGTGAACATTAATCAGAAAAAGCAAGAATTTGATCTACTGACTTGCATTTCTCATAACTACAGGCTATAATTCCAGCAGTGTTAATGAACATCTACGTTGTGGGTTTGAATCAACTCTTTGATGTTGAAATTGATAAGGTATTGAAATTAACAATCCATGATCATTATTCTTAGACAATCAAAGTAATTTAATCTTACATGAAAGCAACATTATGATTTTATTAAAGAGAGTGATTCTTCTATTCTGGCAGATAAATAAACCTACTCTGCCGTTGGCATCTGGGGAATTTTCAAGGGAAATAGGAACGACAATCGTAGTTGTTGTTTGTTTAATGGTATGCATTGTCATATTTCTTTGAAGAGTGAAAATTATATAGTACAATCTAATTGTTGGAAGTATTTCCTGGTGTTAATGAATTTTCTTTCCTTTAATGGATATTTACACTCACATTACTTTATTCTTCTTCTGCAGAGCTTTTTTATAGGATTGAAGGCTCAATCCCTGCCTTTACTGTGTGCACTATCAGGATCTTGCTTTCTTGGAACTGCATATTCTATCAATGTAAGAAAATGACATTACTATCTGAGCAAATAATGAAAGATGACTCCATATCGTAGACTTCACAATAATGAACTAAAATGTAAAATTCTAAGATGACACTTGTACAATTTTTTTAAAATAATAGCGTGTTGTAGGACTTCGTATCTGGGACCCATGTAAGAAATATCCAGACCAATGTAGAATACTGCTAAATCATTTTAACATTATTTACATGATAGCTAATTAATGATATAGGATTTTAAAAGTATTTATATGTTTTTCTATCCGAATGTTTTAGGTTCCTTTCCTTAGATGGAAACAACATCCTGTCCTTGCTGCAACATGCATCCTTTGTGTGCGTGCAATCTTAGTCCAACTAGCCTTCTTCATCCATATTCAGGTATCGTTTTTATTGTTTATATACTTCAGCTTATTTGTTTATTTACAGTGTGGTTTATCATATTTTACAAATGACAATCATCAAATTTGATTTATTTTAAGTCTCTTTTTGACTAGTTGTTTTCATTAACTAATACTACTTGGAGTGACTACTAGGGATATGTACTCAGAAAGCCAGTGGCACTCACAAAATCAGTAGTATTTGCCACAACTTTTATGTGCTTCTTCTCAGCTGTTATAGCTCTTTTTAAGGTAAGTTGCAGTACTTTTTTAGCCAAAAATTGTCATACGAATATGAGACCTTTTGTGTTACATGCTCACTTTATAAACTTGAATGACGTTTCTAATGCCATCTTAAATATTCATGTGAGTAAATGGTGAGAAAATCCCACTTTCATGAAATTTGAGATTTTGATCTTTTTAATTCTTTTCGTAGAGGTAGCAGCAATCATAATTCGTACTATGTAGGAGAAATTGCGCTACAAGCCAACAACTGTTGCTTCTGAAAACTTATTATGTAGTTGTATGTACTTGTTTGATAAAATAATTTGGATTTTTTTTATATTTATACGATTTAATATATCAATTAGTAGGATATACCTGATGTAGACGGAGATAGAAATTTCAGCATTCACTCGTTCAGTGTTCGTCTGGGTCAAGAAAGAGTAAGTACAAATATTTTTTATGTGTGTATTTACATTTTTTTGGGAGTATAAGTTGCAATTCTTGTTAATGTAGGTGTTTTGGCTTTGCATTAAGCTACTGCTAATTGCATATACTATAGCCATAATTGTTGGAGCCTCTTCTGGAAATATATATCAACGACTGGTAACTGTATGTCTCTATATCTTTTTCGCATGGTAAATGAATTCTGAAGATATTATGATTGTTTACTTGATATTTTGGTTGTTTGAAGGAAATGAATTCTGAAGATATTATGATTGTTTACTTGATATTTTACTTGTTTGAAGGAACAATTCTACCTAAATTTAATTATATTTTTCAATTTCAGGTACTTGGTCATGCCTGTATTGCATCCATCCTTTGGCTTCAAGCACAATCTGTTGATGTACAAGATAAGTCATCAACAACTTCATTTTATATGTTCATATGGAAGGTAATTAACAAGGCAACTTAATTCCTAGTCCTAATTAAGTAAAATTATTGGTTAATACTACAGAAGTATAAATAACATGCGGCTTTAAACAAATATAAATTTAAAGATTAGTCCTTTTAATAGATTTCTACATGATTTTATTTTGCTTCATCTAGTTTCTCTCTCTCTCTCACACACACACACACTCTCTCTCTTTTTTGTTGCATTGTATAGTCCAACATGAAATTGGAATTGTACACTCTTTTTCTGAATAGTTGGTTCATGCTAAGCATAAAATGAGCTTACATAATGCAATTCTTAGAATTTTTTTAGACTCCGAACAACTCCTAAAAAGTCATGCAATAGACATTAACATCCACGTAGTGCAATGTAAAAAATGCAGCAAAATCCATACCTTCCTTTTTAAAGTAGAATAAACCTATTCACTACTTTCTCTGTTGACAGAAATTAATTGCATGGCACCTTGTTGACGTAAATAATATATCTTAACTACCTTAGAAAATTTATCAAATTGTTGATTCTTAAGTAATTATCAATCCAAGTCACGTTGAAGCGATTTCGATTATCTTTAGTCTGGAATTGTTATTTAATACTTTGTGTTCATGCCTTCCATCTTGGTGGGTGTAGTCATTGTATACATTCTATGTTCATTTGCTTTAAGACTGATTAACAGTCCAAATGGTTTTATGGGGATTTTCTTTTTTTGCAGTTATTTTATATTGAGTACTTGCTTATCCCATTTCTTCGTTGAGTATGCTGGAAAAGTCAAGAGCCAATAAAGTCATGGAAGAGATGAAGGTCCTTCAACTCTATCATTTGGTTGTGTATTGTGATATTGTTAAGAATCTCACTAGAAAAATTTTGCCTTGAAATCTCCTAATATATCATCTATTTCGTGAAAATTTTGGCCTTTGTGATCACTTAATGTATATTTTTCTTGAGCTTGATATAACCCTTATGTTGGATTATCATCATAAGTATCACTATACACATTTTCCCCCCCAACGACTGTACATTTGGTTGCATGTCCAAAATTAACTTCTATTAGAAAGTAATTGTGATTTAAATGTGACAATATATGGGGCGAAAATAAAAGGCTAATCTAAAATGGCTATAATCATTTATTTAGAAATAGAGGATGATATTTAAGAACATCGACAATCTGTTATCTTTCATGTAATGTGAAGGTTGCATCTTCATTTCTCTCTCCACCCTCTCAAAACAAAGAAGCGAATCATCTTCATTAACATATTAACAATTACAGAGCCTCCAAAAAACGCGTTCTAAATTTTTAATCCAAATTATGTATTTCCTAACTGAAGTTTACGGAGCTCTATGTTCTCAATGCAATTTTTTGATGAATTTTCTATACGAGTGATCTTGAATATTCGATCAACCACACACATACTGCACCGATTTTGGGCATCAACAAATTTTCATCACCAGTTCATTTTGAAGAAAACAAACTCTATGTGCCGTAGTGCAAATATGAAACATCATCGTACCAAAGTGTAAAATATCCATTTAACCGGACCGGGTTTGGATCCTACGCGTTAAAGCCCTAGACCCGTTTCCTCGCAATCTTATCGCCCACTATAAAGCCCAAAACCGCAGATTTTAAGCTCTCACGATTTAGGGTTTCCTCCGCCGTCGTCTCCAAGCTCAGAACCAGCAAGAAAATGGTAAGAATCTCTCACTTTCTCTCTTCTAGGGTTAGGGTTAGGGTTAGGGTTTCACTTCATCGTTCTGATCTCTATTTTCTCTATTAGCCTTCTCACAAGACTTTTCGGATCAAGAAGAAGCTCGCGAAGAAGATGAGGCAGAACAGGCCGATCCCTCACTGGATCCGCATGAGGACCGATAACACCATCAGGTACGATTCCCTCCCGATCGATTTCGGTAATTTCTTCTTCATTTTTTCTTTGGAATTTTGATTTATTGAGTGGAGTTGTTGGTTCTTTGATCTCAGGTACAATGCGAAGCGCAGGCACTGGCGCCGCACCAAGCTAGGGTTTTGAGGACGCCCTAGGTTTTACTTTCCCTTCACCCTCTTAGAGCTAGGGTTTACTATGTCACTGCTTTGCTTTATTCTACTGAGAGATAGTTGTTGGACCTTGAGAGCTTCCGATTTTATCTTAGATCTTGCGTGGAGAGTAAATTGCTAGAATGCTTTGTATTTTGACTTGAATCGTGGCATCTTGTTTACTTGTTGGATATTGTTTGAATTTATGACGTGTTGGTTTAGTTTTGCCCTTTTGTCATATAAATATCTTTAGCAGTACATCGTTATATATGCCTTCTCCCATTTGATTATGCTCTTTCACTAGGTTTGTGGAGTAGCATTATTTTGGCATCCTTCTGGTCTGAGTATTGGTTAAGAAATTATACTGAATACTGGATGTGAGTCGTATTTGTAAGAAATACATTGGGGGGGGGGAAGCTTGTGCTGATTTGATTATATGGGCTGTCAAATTGGTTATCTCATTCATTTGACCCGTGTTTCTTATGTGTGTTGTCATTGTTAAAATTTACTATTTCCCCCATTTCTGTCATTGATTAATGTTAAGCTATTTAATTGATGAGGCAATTTGTTATCAGAGATAATAAAATACGACTGCTTTGAACTTTCTTATGGTAACTCTGACTTAAAAGTCGTCGTCTCTTACTGTGGAAATCAATGAGATGGAATAGGAGAATAGGAAATGTGCATGCACTCACCTGTTGATGAAAGCATGTCTATGATGATTTTAGGTTTGATTGTGATTGCAGAGATCAGGTGATTTCTATGCGGGGGGGGGGGGGTTGGTTGGTTGGTTGGTTCTGTTATATTTGCCAATTGGGATAATAAACCTTTAGAATGCATCAATTAGATGTAAGCAATGGTAAAATCGTAGAAGCCTGCAGATGGCTGTCTGTCTTTAGGATTAGCTGTTTTAAAGTATGTTGAGAAAGAATATGGGGAAGATGTATAAAATAGCATGAGGAATTTATGGGATTCCAAGTTAACGGGTTTTTTATTGTCATAAACTTATAGCACCTAATAACTTTTGCAAATAGGCAATGATCCATAGTAAAGTCAGGAACGTTCTTTAAGAAGTCTTTTATGTTTTCTGCTTTGTGTCAGTAGTTGCTTGAAGATAATGACACATGACTTCCTTATTTTTTAAGAACATTTTTATATTCAAGAAGCTTTTGTTATCAATTGGAGCATCCTTCAATTGCATTGGTTAAGATTGAAGAAAGAACGATGTAGAATTGTGTGAAAGGCTTTAGCCTATAGAAACCATAGGATTGCTCAAAACATTGAATACTATTCATGAATATAGTAGAAACAATTCAGCAAATAATTTAGTTTCAAATCTTGGGTTTTCGATTGAACCTAATCCGAGATAAAGTCCAATGACCTTGGTTCTCTGCTGATTAACCCCCAAAAAGCATCAAAGAGTGATCAAATTCATGAAAAAGTAAAAATTGACCTGAATCTGGTGAATCCATATCGAACTTAACATGACTAAAACAAATGCAATATCTAGCATTCCAGCCTCAAATGCTTGAAAAGATCTTAAGGGGGGAAAAAGAAAAGAAAACAAGAGTGAATAGCCTGAATCTCTTTAATCACACATTACGCCATCGCATTGATTTTGAGAGGGGAAGGTGGAATATGGTTATCCTTCAAGCTATCTCATTGTTTATTGGCTCAACTAAGTTGTATCATATAACAGTTAGGAATAATATAATTGACAGTATATTCTAGATCCTATGTGGTTGTATATTGTGATTAAGTGAGTATTTGGTTTAAAAAAATCTGGAATCTGTTTGGGTCAGGAGGTGGAATACATTGTAAGTTAAGACTGGTCGTGTTTTTAGATTGAAAGTTCATTTATTATCACTCATTCACTTACTGGAAGCTTAAGGATTTTTTATTATTACATCATGTACATCTGCTGGTTACAGTATATTTTACATTAGATACGCATTAAATTATTCTTAATGTTTTTCAAGGATTGTATAGCATCTGCGATCCTGAATGAGTAATCATTGCTTTTAAACTGTTTTTCATGAATGCTTTTAAACTTGCTATGTTTGAAGTTTGATATTTCAGGAGGGTGAAGGTGTAATGAGTAATCATTGCTGCGCAAACCTTTGTATTTTTGTGTCCAGTTTAAGTAGCAACTACCGGCTCCTCCTCCTGACTTCATGAGAGTGCAAAGCTCAAATGACCAGTCTTGAGCTTTCATGCTTGAACATAAGATCTGCTAGTTCATAGTATTATACAATTTCTTTATTAGTGACGTCAGATTTTTGTGTGTTTAGGGTATGAGGAAGGTGCTAGTTAGGATGTATAAAAGAGCTTAGTGAAAGGATGGAAACTAGTTGATGTGACTATCCCTAGAGATTTCTTATAAGAGCTTTGATTTCTTTATGTAATTCATGGATTTTTGGTCTTGAAAACCAAGTGGAATGGAAGTACAGATAACCTCTTCTCGTAATGGCTAGTTTCCACTTATAGGCCAGTTGTCTTTGACGGTACAACCATACAAATAAAATTCAAGTCGTCATATTGTAGTTAGGAGGCATTGAGTTCTTTGCCGGAGTCAAAAGCCTGGAAGGAACTTAAATGGAAAAGGTAGCCATGAAATTATCTCCTGTTGTTTTAATTATGAAAGAAGTTGATATGACAAAGCAAGGAGGAAAATAGCATGATTAGTTAGCATCCCTATCTTCTTTCCTGGCAAAAGGAAAGACACACTGACGGCCGGGTGCTAAGTTAGCTGACCTTGTTAAAGCTGTAGTGCTAAGTTAGCTGAACTTTTTTACAACATAATAACGAACATTCCAGTTTGAGCCTGTGACAGAACATTGTTTTGTTCTTGCATCTTGTTTGCAATGCAATAGTTAGGGGGAGGAAATAGGAAGCATATAGCTATTAGTTAGTAGGGTGGGGTATGAACCACAAAGCATATACAAATGTCTATGTTACTAAACAGTATGTCTAACACCCCGTACAAGACATGTAGTATGTCACTAAAGAGTATGTCTAAAGATTTTATTAATCTCGGAAATATGATTAATATGGAGTATAATTCTGAGAAAAGGCTGAACTCTCCTATACTAACATTTATATTTGAGGCTCTTTTATACATAAATAACCCAATTTGGATTAAATAAAAAAAAGCCGCAAGTATATAGCTGTGTCATTTTGTCTTCTTGGAGAATGACTGTTTCTTAACGGTAACTTTGTCGGAGTACGACATTTGTTTCTGCCTGCAGATCACTGGTATAAGGAAAGATGAATTTGGAGCCAAAGGATGTGCTAAATTAATTCTGTTAGACATACACTACTTAATAGTGTTCCCCTTGTACATCCACCTTCCTATGGAAATCAAGGATGAAAGATAGTATAATAGTTTTGGGCCCTTTTTGTTTAGCTACATGGTGATATCACAGAATGCTTGTCTGTGTTATTGAGAGATTGAAACTTCTCATTCATTGGTCAAGATCAGCATTTGGACCTTGTTTCATTTGAGTGTTGGTTTCTGGACTCTAGCTTAGGTCAAGTGTATAAATAAACCTAGTGGATGGTGTGTAGTGGCAACAGCGCTGGATGTTCTTGCCACCATTTGCTTTTAGACACTTTTGTTATCTCTTGGTACATCTGTCTCTGATGTTGACCCGGTAGCAAGTTCTTTATTGTCTCTAAAATATGCATGTAAACAATGGTTTTCTGCATACAATATTTTGTAGTGGTATCACGCGTTGCATATCCAACTGTAACGGCAACAAGTTCTTAAATGTCGTGGCTGTCGTCGTTCCCAGTTTGTTTCAGGAGCTTACACATTTTCACACATCTACGCTTGAATGTGATTGCGAAGTATGTTAGCAATTTGTGTTTGCAATGGTGTAGTGTTTATCTGAAGGACATTTGCACCTTGGTGCGCTGGAGCTCTGTATGTTCTGATTTTTCTCATAAGAACTTCGATTTTCCCTCGATTTGTTTTCGGGGTAGCCAGTAGGTGTGCTGTTACCTTTTTCATTTTATTTATGTTGTATATAAAATCAATCCAATCTAATTGTATTGCAGTTTCGCCATGAAGTTGTCCTTCATTTGGATATATTTGGCGGTCTGTCTCTTTAAGCAGTATTTGGTTGGCACAAGTGCAGAAGCAGCATTTGCTGATCACGCTATGCTAGTTTTTTTAATTAATCTATCTATATTATTTATATAAAAGAATACTCATATTAAAACTTTTGATTTTCTATTTTGACCTTTCAAATTTTGATAATTCACAATTACACCATTAGTTATAATTAATCTTTAAGTACTTATCCATAACTCTTTATTAGTCTTCCCAAAAAATATTTGGTCAAGAGTATAATTATCATCAATAGTTTATAATCTAATACTATGTACAAATGCTTATGTCTATATTTAGAATTTTAGAATGTCAATGTTCACTTTTCGGGCTACCGTAATTGCATGACGGGGGGTTTGCGATCTACTCTCCTCTTTAAAAAGTTGAAATGATTGTATTTGAGGGACATCAAAGTTTAAACCATGTGAGGACTAGAGTTTTGTAAAGATCACAAGAGGCAGAATTTGAGAATGGTGCGTCTCATTCTTCATTGCTTTGTGTCTTTTGAGCACCAGCTGCTAATCAGTCCAAAATTTTAGCGCAATACTATAAATCTCTTCCCAAGCAGTTACACAATAGTATAAGACAAAGTTAATCAAATAATAATAATAACAAGATGTAGAGTCTAGACTTTTAAAGTTCAATTTGAATCAATGCATAAACTATGAAGCAAATTAATTAACAACCCTTTTTATTTTTATATAACTTCTCTTTCATCTCTTGAGTATAAATTAGCTCACACAATTTCTTCCACTCACCATAATATCTACTAAGCCAAATTCATACAATTACAAAAAAAGCTCAACTAGAATTCCACTTGCATTAAAATGGAAAATTTAGCAGAACACAAGGTGTCGACTTCTTTCGATGGTCAAATTTGCTCAAGCATGTGTTAGCATGGTATGTGCCTCTATAATTCAATAAGAATTTTGAAATTGTGTTTCGAAACTTGATTATTCTAGAAATGAGTCAATTTGGTACGATGTAAGTTGTTATAATCAATTTGGTGATTAGTTTTCTTCTTGGAGACATTAGGTTCACTCGAATTTTAAAATGTATTATGAAAAGTCTGAAACGAACAAATGTATCTTGAAATCTCATTAGATTAAATATTTTTGAAATTTAACCCACTAAATTCATTTCGCAGTGTGATTTGAAAACACATTGTATAAAAAAAAAAATCAATGATGCTAAAATCATGAAGTATGGGCATGATTAGGAATGTATTAGGCTAATTGTATTAACCTTTTGATGTTATAGTGAGAAAGACAAAATAAACTTTCTTATCGTGATTTTAGATAAAAAAAAGTTGAATAAATACTACGACCAACATAATATTTACATGCATCCAAAATAAATATTATATTTTTATTATAAATAAACCCTGATTACTAAAGTGTTATCTTCTTAAGCTTTGACTTTTTACCTTCTAATTAATAACTCATTTTTATACATGACATTTATTTTCATTTATTTCTGTTTATT